TTTAATGAAGTAGTGCCTGTTTAATGCAGCAAAACCCATTGGCCACAAAGTGGCATTTAATGCATGAGGGAAGGTGGGAAGTGACTGAAGTCAGGATTTGGTGATGAAGATCAGAGTGATTAGACGTGGACATTCTCACAAAGATTCTGACAGCTCGAGATGTTGGTTCACCAGCTATCCAGGCAATAAATGCGTCTCCACGGCCAGAGGTTCAAAACCCACGATTAAACGCGGCGGCCGAGATTCACCAGGATTTCTGGGGTCTCATCACCATACTTCACGATCCCAAATGTCGATTGGATTGCCCACTTGCGCTAATCAGACTCCACTATGCGTAAATTCAGCCTCGATTACTCATCCAGGGACTCTTCCTATAAATACAAGACTCGAGCTACTTTCAAAGGGTTCAAACACCAAAACAAGCCTCCCACGGAGCAACTTATTTTCTTCTGTAATGCACTTTCAATATCTTTACTTGCTTTCCTAGGAGTAGTGTTAGGTTGTAAGCAGAATCCATTTATCAATATATCATACGACCCTTGATTTTCAAGGCGCCGGAGCACCATCTCTGTTTGTTCGCTCACTCACCCCATATATCACACGACCGTCGCTCCCTGAACAGAGCGCCGGAGCACCGCCCAAAACCCACCACCAACACCATCATTCAACGGCCTTGTAGTTCAGGCCGTGAACCTAACAGCCGAGACCAGTTCCTCTCTCGGCTACAATCGTTTGACCAAGAAGACAGATCAAACAGGCGCACCATTCACCCATCCAACGCTCATCAAAACATCAACGCACGGTAAACCGTGCTGGCACGCCCGCGCACAACCGCACCGCACCCAAAAGTAGGAAACCCCGTGTTAACGCACGTCCCCTCAGCCCGGAACTCCAGGCCGTGGGATTTGCGCGGCAGACAAAGACACTTGGACCGACTCGGTCGGACCAAGTGAAGAAATTCAATTGGGGCCCACCAAGCTCAGCAGAACCCCCCCGGAAGTTCAGGACCCTCTTGAAGAAATTAATTTGGGAACTAACGAAGATCCAAGACCAACATTCATCAGTGGCCTCCTTGGTCATGGCTTCAGGGAAGAATTGATTTCTCTCTTACAAGAATTCAGAGACTGTTTTTCTTGGCATTACCACGAAATGCCAGGATTGGACAGAAGCTTGGTAGAACACCGTTTGGCCATAAAAGAGGGCTATAAACCAGTAAAATAGTTAAAGCGAAGGATGTCAGTCGAGACCGAATTAAAAGTAAAAGAAGAGATTGAGCGATTGTTGAGGGCAGGATTCATCAGGCCAGCCCGATATGTCGAATGGTTGGCAAATATCGTCCCCTTTCTAAAGAAGGTCACTAAGGCTGTCAGAGTATGTGTCGACTACAGAAACCTCAATGAAGTCACCCCAATGGACGAATATCCCATGCCAATGGCTGATATGCTGATTGACAGAGTAGCTCATAACAAGATTATGTCATTCATGGACGGCAACGCAGGATATAACCAGATCATGGTTGCTGAGAAGGACATTCATAAGACATCATTCAGATGGCCAGGAGCCGTGGGAGCATATGAATATCTGGTCATGCCTTTCGGGCTGAAAAATGCAGGGGCCACGTACCAAAGGGCAATGAACGCCATCTTCCATGACATGATCGGACATACACTCGAAGTATATAGTGACGACGTAGTCGTGAAATCAAAGGAACAGGAGGAGCATGTGGAAGATCTCCGGAAGGCTTTCATCAGAATGAGGAAGCATCAACTAAAGATGAATATGAAAAAGTGCGCTTTCGGCGTTCAGGCGGGAAATTTCCTGGGTTTTCTAGTACATCGGAGAGGCATCGAAGTGGACAAGAATAAAGCTAAGGCAATCATCGATGCCCCTGTTCCCCATAACAAGAAAGAACTGCAGAGTCTGCTTGGGAAGATCAATTTTCTGAGGCGACTCATCCCCAATTCGGCAGGGAAGGTCCAACCCTTCTCTTCTTTGTTAAAGTAAAGGACAAAGACCCATTCCTATAGGGCCCAATCCAACAGGAAGCATTTGATCAGATAAAGCAGTACCTGAGCAACCCACCGGTCCTCACACCTCCATGGAAGGGTGTCCCTCTAAAATTGTATATTTCTGCTTCAGATAATTCTATCGGTAGCTTATTAGCCCAAGACAATGTAGAGGGTAAAGAGCAAGCTGTGTTTTATCTAAGTAGAATATTACAAGAAGTTGAGACCCGTTATTCTACTATTGAAAAGCTCTACCTTGCACTATACTTCACAGCAGTAAAATTACAGCACTACATGCTTCCTTTTACTGTTCATATCATAGCTAAAATTGATCTCATTAAATACATGCTCAATAGACCCGTGCTAAGGGGGACGGTTGGGAAAATGGATTTTGGCTCTCTCAGAATTCAGTTTCAGGTACGTCCCTCAAAAGGCAATCAAAGGGCAGGCTATTGCAGACTTTTTAGCAGCCCACCCATGTGTCGAGATTGAGGATTTAAGCACTATGGAAATAGCCAATCTAGGATTCCCACTCGATCAGAGAGCTCCGAAACTAGAAATAAGAAATGTCTTTGGGAAGTTACAAGGTCAACAAGGGCAGATCTTAATCCCTGTAAAAACAGTCCAAGTCAAACCATGGAAACTATTCTTCGACGGATCAAGGTCAGAATCAACAGCTGGCGTAGGTAGTGTCATCGAAGATCCATTCGGAGCCAAATATGCATATGCATTTCAACTCGACTTCAATAGCACCAACAATAGGTTCGAATATGAAGCTCTGATTATCAGCCTAGAAATGGTGCTAGAACTTGGGGTTAAGCACTTGAAGGTCTTTGAAGATTCTCTGTTGGAAATCAAGCAACTGACAAATGAATATAAATGCAGAGATCCAACTATGGCAGCCTACTATGTAGCAGCCGGCAATCTAAGCTCTATGTTCAAAGATATATCAGTCAAATATATCCCGAGAGATGACAACCTGGCTGCCAACGAAATGGCACAAATAGTATCTGGCATCCAGATACAGGAGCACCAGTCTGAAAGGACCATTAAAGTGCAGAAAAGATCCCTACCCTCGATCCTCAGCAGAGGAATGGACCTCGAAATAAAAGCAAATGAATTACAGGCTGGAGATTGGAGAAAACCTCTGATTGATTACTTGACTAACCCATCCCCAAGGGCGAGCAGGAAAGTCAAATACCACGCCACCAAGTTCCTGGTCATGAATAGAGATTTATGTCAACGAACTACTGAAGGAGTCCTTTTGCGATGTATAGGACCGAAAGAATCAACGAGGGTCATGGGAGAGATTCATGAAGGATCCTGTGGTGCCCACCAGTCCGAAAAAAAGATGCGATGGCTGTGTTGTGTAGATACAACTGCACCAAAATGGATTCAGCTGCATCCTCAACTTGTGATACTCGCAAGTGCACGAACCGTTGGTAGTATAGCATATGTAAGTGCGAGGTCGATTCCACAGGGATTGGTGATTGAATGATCCAATTTAGTTTCCCTACACAAAATAGAAACAAAAACAAAGAACATAAAACAAGGAAGAAAGAAATAAGTAACTCAAGCAAATAAGTTCCCAAGTTCAATTTAGATTAATGGATTGATTCTAGCTAAAGTATGATTAAGCCATGGTGTGTGGTCATAACCTTGTGTTCCTAATTCCCTAATTTGATCATTTGTTGTCTAACCTAAAATTAAGCATTAGGAACCCATTAAGCATAGAAGAACAATTTAAACAACCAAGCATGTATCTAATCCCTGTTGTCGAATGTCCATACATACTCTTCCTATTCATAGTTCAATTCGAATTAAAGCATGGTGTATACTCTTAATTCAAACCAAGATAGCTAACACGCAAGCCTAAATGGTGATCAATCATTCAAACTAGCATAATAACTTATAAGCATAATGAATAAGAACAAAAACCACAATTGAAACTTGGAAACTAATTAAACTTGAAAACTTAAGAAAAGAATTTACATAACAAAGAAAAATAAATTACAACTAAGAAAACATTAAAGAAAGCTAGAATTGAGAACTAGAAAGCAAAACTAAGAAAATTTGAGGGAGAGAAGGGAAGGGAGCTCTACAGAAGTGTTTGAGAGCTCCCCCCCTTGGGGTGTATTTACAAGCTTAGAGAACTTCCCTATTTATAAGCCTAGGGGAAGTGAAAATCTGAATTCAATATGACTAATGCATACAACACTTGCATTATAAAAGATGAATTGGTTGATGCACTTCA